TAAAGTATCGATCATAAACAAAGCGGATCTCAGTTTCAACAAATATTTTTCTGTCATTCCTCTTTTAATTTTACAAAAATATTGCAAAATTGATAGTACATTTCAAAAATAGAAAGTTATAATATTTTAATATATATATTCTCTTTCTCAAATGTAAAGTTACATATATTAAATATGCAATATTTTATTTTTATATTCTATATTTGAAAAAATTTATTTTGAATTGAGTCGTTTCTTATATAATAATTGCTGAGTTAAATATCTTTACATTGTAATAATATAAAACCCTCAGAGTTTTATTTATTTGTTAAATTTAGTATTTTAAATTTATATATGTTAAATAAAAGCATAGATATATTATTTCTTAAATAATTATTGTAATTTCGATAACAAAGGTTCTTATATATACTGCCGGACATATCAATTATGGTGGGCGAATAACAGATGATTGGGATCGCCGATGTCTCTTGACACTTCTCGAAGACTATTACAATGCTAATGTCATTTCTCAAGATTATCAGTTTGATGAACAAGGATTTTATCATCAGGTATACATATTTAAATAAAACGACAGCTCTTTTCTAAAAATTATCTATGATATAAATTGAAACATTAAATTTTAACTCATAGCAGTTACAAAAATACTATCTAAAAAAGTACATACATATATTAAACACTCTACTTAACCTAAAATATAAAAAAATATATAACAAGATTGAAAATTCATGTTTTAATATTAATAATATTAAAGACAAAAAGAAAAAATAACAATAAACTTTTTTTTTTTTCTAAAAATTTTGCACATAATTTAAAATTCCGATTTTAATAAAATATTCATTTCATAATATAGTGACGACATCACAGATTTCAATGTTATCAAGGTCTCGCTCTGAATAACAATCAAAAGATTTTATTCATCACTCATTGTAAAAAATTGTTAACAAAAAAAATTGACAATATGAAGTTGTATTTAATTTTATAATTTAAATTTTACTTAATTTAAATATTACATTATTCGCATATTTGTACATGTGTAAGCAGAGGATTTTGCTCCTTTCCCTTTCCCCATAAGGGGACTGCACTCGAAAGATATGATCTAACCCAAACTCAATTTTAGTTTCTAATTAGAAATGGTGATAGTCAATTTAAGTGTGGTCAATGATATCAACGTAAGTAATCAGGACTAAAATTGAGTTTGGGTTAAGATATATCTTACTGGTGTAATCTGATGCAACCTCTCGTAGGAGAGAGCGGAATCTTATCCTTTAAAGTTACACTTTACAATTCAAAAAAAGGTTTATCTCACATCCCCTTTTGCTTAAAGGGCGAAACGAAAACTGTAATATTGTTCTTACGTTTCCACATAATTATTTATGTATATTTAAATAAAAGATCTTAAAAGAAAGATTAGGAATTTTTGCATATTATAATTCCCATTTTTAGCGCTCATTTAGTTAAGAAGGTGACAGATATTCTTGGCACAATAAGCTTTAAATCGTAATATGTTAATTATTTTTTTTAATATAAAGTCAAAATTCCATATGAAAATGTATACAAATATTATATCACTTTTTAAAATATCAGAGCTAGAACATGTTTATTTTGATTGTTAATAATTCTTAATAAACAATGATCAACGATTAAAACACCTTTTGATTGTTATTTAGAGCGATCTTGACTGCATATTTCAAAATCATTGAAATTGGTCATCACTGTTATGTAGTTTTACCTTTAGTTTCTTTATGTAAAAAAAATAATCAATTGTATTTATAAAAACTTTAATTTTTTATTAAATAAACGTTAATTAAAAAGAATATACATATGAGATATTTTCAAAATTATTGTGAATATTATTTCACTAATATAAATACAGTTATATAAATATTTCTGTCATGAACAAAGTTCATTATTGTGATTAATAAGTTATTAATTACGCTTTTATTGACCACTCTATATTTATACATTCAAAGTTACCAGCTACAGCGTCATTCAAGGATTATCTAGAGTACATAAAAGATTTCCCTTTAAACGACAATCCATCACTGTTTGGCATGCATTCAAATGCCGATATAAGCTATGCACAAGCAGAAGCACATGCTTGCCTCACAACTTTATTAAACATGCAGCCCAGGGAATTTGGCGTTGTAGCCACAAGTGTCGACGAGGTAACAACTCAAATAACCAAGAATATGTTGGCCACGATGCCCGAATCCTTTGATTTAATCGCAATGCAAGCAAGGTACTAGTGAATATTTCTTTTTGCACAAATGCAAACATATATTTTTGTTTCTAAGAGAATTAATTTTTTTAATATATTCTTATTATCGCTACTTTGTAATTTAAAATAAAGAGCATCTTGCGATTTTATTATAATCTACAGATTTTACAAAAAATAACCTTCTGTATACTTTTTAAAACATAATATAATTACATAATATTATTTTATGACACATTAGTTTAATTTCTTAAAATTGCATTTTATATACAATATCTAAAAATATATTCACTTCTCATATTTTTGAAATAAATATAACTCTTACGACAAAGTTAGATAAAACGTCTGTTGAATCAGTAAATAAAATAAATTGAATTTCAGGTTCCCTATATCGCACGAGGAATCCTTTAATATCGTGTTACTGCAAGAAGCCAAGCGATATAATGATTTACTCGAAATCGTGCAATCAACGTTGCAAGATCTTTTAAAAGCTTTAAGAGGCTTGGTTGCCATGTCAAAACAGCTCGAAATGACAGCTACCAGTCTTTTTAATAATAAAATACCTGTAAATTGGAGCAAAAGTTATCCTTCTCTAAAACCTTTAGGTAGGAATATATCTCAATTACAAGTTTATCAATATGTAATATAATCTTTATTTCAGTCTCAAAATCAGTTTCCAACTAACAAACTGACGTTGTTAGTCGTCATTATAATGATAAACAACGTCAGTTTATTTGCTATTGTTATAACAAATATTTTTTATCGTTTTGATTAGCCGGATGGTTCGTCGATTTAAAGGAAAGAATTACATTTATTAGCAATTGGCGAGACCAAGGTATACCGCCTGCGTTTTGGCTGTCAGGATTTTATTTTCCTCAAGCTTTTTTAACTGGCACGTTACAAAATTTTGCGCGTAAACACATACTACCCATTGACACAATCGATTTTAGTTACAAGGTATGCTTTCAGCTTTTAATTAAATTATTGATAGGTCCATATGATTGATGTACTAATTTCATAAAGATAGATAAAAATATTTAATAGACACTTTCAGTTATTTGAGAGATTTGTTAACACAAGTAACAGTTATAGTCAAATAAAACTTGATACATTGATTTTATATAATTTAAAATAATTACAAATAAATATCTTACGCCTAAATAAATGTTATTGATCAATTAATAGATATAAATATAAAATCAATATTAATCTGTGTTTAAGTATTGTATGATTTTACAAAAATTTTTGAAACTATATCTATTAATCTTGACAAAATGGATAAAAAGATACTCCAAGCAAAGTCATGAGCAATATTATATGTCACAGATTTTAACTTCCAAACCAACGCAGAGACCATCAAATGGCAGTGTCATTTACGGACTCTTTTTAGAAGGCTGCCGGTGGGACGGAAACTATCTCGTCGAGTCTTTATCAAAAAAATTATTCACCGGTTAAGTATTAATAATGTTTCCATTACACTAAATTAATTTCATTTAAATTAATTTCATTAATTTAAATTATGAAAAGCTAAATTATTAAATTACTAACGTAAATGTATAATGTGTATAAATAGCCGTGCTTTGTTGAATAAATCATAAATTATTTAATTGCTTTGAATTCCGTTTACATAATGGTATATAATGGTACTGTTCACTTGCTGTCCAGACATGCCGCCAATTCACTTGTTACCAGAAGTTCATCACGTAATTTCGCCTCACAAAATTTACGTATGCCCTGTATACAGAACTATCGAGCGATCTGGAACTTTAAGCACAACAGGACATTCCACGAACTTTGTTCTAGCAATAGAAATTCCAATTAACAAACCGCAATCACATTGGATAAAAAGAGGAGTGGCATTAATATGTACTTTGGACTATTAACATTTTTCTGTTGCCATATACCATAGCTTTTATGATTTATGATTGAAAATTGTTGAAAAGTATTCGTAATCTTATATACGTGCATTATTAATATAATAATAATAATAATAATGATTATAATAATGATTCTACCAAATAAATTTTTTATTGTAAAACAGCATTTTTTATTAATATTATTATTATTATTTGGTTTAGATGTATATCCTACAAAATATATACGTTACATTCATCACGAAAAAATTATAAATTTATCGTATACCCTCGAAATTTATCATCCCTCTCGAAATCGTTCCACTATCATTTGAAAAATTTTTTTATATCGTTAAAAATAAGCGAGATATTTCAGATGATCGATTTAAGTGGATCACCCTGTATATTGTTAATAATTAATTATTAATAATTACAGCATTGTAAAGATGTACGTTAATTGAATGTATGAATTAATTATTTGCTTTATTAAAGTCTCTTATAAAATTAATTGTGCATACACTGTTAAATTTATAGTGTCAAATATAACCTACCGTGAGTCGCCACTGCTCCTACTAAATATATCGTTATTTTTTATCAAAATGATAGTTAAATTTAACACTATACCGTGTCAATTTAACACTATACAATATCAAATTAACACTATAGTGTCAAATATAACCATTGTTTTAGTATAAAATAACGACATGATTGAGTAGGAGCAGTGGCGACTCACGGTAGGTTAAATTTGATACTATAGATTTAACAGTGTAGAATATACAGAAAATACACATACTTAATTACATAAATAAGAATATACTTCCATTATATATGATATCTTTTATTAAACTCTAGAAACAATTTCAAACGGATAACCATATCGAATGGAAAATTTATTTATGAAGCAAAAACTGTTTGTTGAACTTAAAAATAGTTTAATCAATGTTTGCATTCACTTTGTCATTCTCGTATAATTTGGGATCTTTGCGAGTATATCGATCATATGCTGCAGTCGACCACGTATATATCATAGCTGACATTATAAATCCTAAAACGAAAAATATTGATAACACAATTATGGAGAGGAAGGAAATATTAAATAAAATAGAACTTTAAGAAAAGTTGCGTTATATATAAAATATCAGTCGGAATAACAATAAAAGTTCATAAAAGATACATAAAAATAAAATTTTAGAGATATATGTATAAATCTTCAATAAATAATTCTCGCATATGATGAAATTTAAAATTTTTCTTTTTATAAATCAATAAGAAATTATTTAAATAAAATAACTAGATTTTACGAATATTATTGGCTTTTTTTAATAAAACATAAATTTCACATTTAAAATATACATTATATTACAAGAATTTGTACATAATTTGAGACCATTTATATGTCTCATATCAAACACTTAATACAGGGTTTAAATTTCCAAAAAATTAAGAAATTATTTATTTTTATCATATAATTTCTTCTTATTAAAAAGCCATTCATAAAAATAATATAATAGTTCTAGCTTATTTTTTTTTCAACAGAATTAGCACAATGAATATATTCTTTTATAACTTCTATATCTTCAACTTCTTAAATTATAATAATACACAATTTTCTAAAAATAAAAAGTTTTAAAGATCGTATTGAATTATCAAAGCGACAAAATTTTCATTAGCTTACGCTATCATTACAAATGTTATTAAATTCTATGTGAAATTGGTTCTCGTTTATCTACAGAAATTGAAAACGGTCGTATGTTTCTAAAGCCACTCAATCATTTATACATCGCAAAATTTTTTTATAATATTATACAATAAAATATACATAAAGACAAAAATTGATTGTGCCATGAATGTGGGTTGTAACATTATTTAACAACGTTTTGCGTCATTAAATAAATATACATACATTTAATCGTCTTATTATTTGCAGAGATCAAAAGGTCAATTTTTATTTTAGAGTTAAAAGATAAAAAAATATCATAAAATATCAAAAAATATCATAAAAATGATACTTTTGATATCAGAATAATTATGGATTTATAACATTACGAATTTATAAAAATAAAAATATGACAAATATAGAATTGTTATCTGAAATATCTCAATAACCGATCCTTCTTTTTATAAAATTAGAACATTGTTATGTTTAATATACTATGAAATCTATTCGTATAAAGTGCATATGTGCAAAATAATTTTTATGTATTCTTTTTTATATCTTTTCCATATGCAATGTTTTGTTAAATTAGATCAAATCAGATTAGAATTTTCAGCATAAGTTTTTAACGCATTATTTATATAAGTAAATATGAGCTTTTATACACACGCTTGTGATATTATTATTGTAGTAAATTACGATTATTTATTTTAAATGCGCAAACTCACCCAAGACTTAATTACACATAATTTCGATAAAGAAAAGATTATTTATCTATCTTATATTTTTTTCCACATGCAGGATGCTCGATTTAATCTGTCCATACCAATATTTCGGAAACTATTAAAAATACAATAGATAAAGGATTTAAAAAAGCCCCTTTAATAAAATTACTTTGAGATGATTTCCAGCGCGACAAAACTACATTTTAAGGGAAAAATGGAGTCGAATTTTTTTAAATGGAATTTCCTTACAAAAATACCCGGGAAAAATGAAAAAGATTTTATTATATATGTATGTGTGGATCAAATTAGATCAAATAACATCAAATTGTATCTGATGAGATTTAGTTTTTAGATATAATCAGATCTTCAGAAATCTAGCTTGGCCTCACATGATTGATGTTATATCCATTAAGATCTAAATTATAGATAATCTGCGATATAAATAAAATGTTATATTGAATATAAAGAAAACATATTGTAGATCTACGAGAATATATTGATATATATGAATATTTAACTTTATACAAGGAAACTAAATGTAATAAATATTAGATCTACAGATCTAATAATATCAAAGAAGATATATATATGTATAAGTGTAATCTGATCAAAATTGGCGTACATATCTACAGAGATCTACAGAGATATAATAATATCAAAATAGATCTACAATTTTGGCCAAAGGTATAAGGCGGTAAGGCACAATTGTTGCATTTTACGAAAAGTTAAGTATCTTGACGAAAAAAAATCTCAGAAGTTTTCAACCACGCATTTTAAAGCTTAAAAATATATTATATCTAATGAGATAAATGTTTATATATTAGAATACAAATAGATCAAAGTATATCTACATATTGATCTATTCATATCGATATCGAATATATCATTTTTAGATCTAATGAGATCTACATACATATAGTGAAATTTTCTTCATTTTTTTCTCGAGTAAGACCAATCGATAGAACTCGAAAGGACAATTCTATTGACCTATAATATTAGAAGATCTATCTTCGATATTACGACCGCAACGAATTTTTGAAATCATCTCAGGGCACGTACTATGGAATTGTTCGGAATGGATTCCAATCGTTCTCTAGAAAACATAATAAAAATCTAAGGAATAATTGAACAATTCCGATTGGAATCCATTTCGAACAATTCTATAATACGTGTCGTGAAATGATTTCAAAAATTCGTTGCAGTCCTAATATCAAAGATAAACTCTTAATATTATAGATCAATAGATTCGTTCTTTCAATTAATCTTGTTTTTGTGGAGAAATTCTATAATATTAAAAAAAAATTTTACCCCTTCCTCCTCTCAAAATAGAAATATCGTTTTATCACACTAAAGATCACATCAAAATAATCTCATTGAAAAGGCTTTTTTAATTTTTGATTTATCTTTCATAGTTTCCAAAATATCGGAGTAAACAGATTATCGAACATCCCCTGTAGGAGAGAGATTTTAATATTTTTAATCAAATACATATTGAGATTATTTCGAGAGAAGATAGGAAAATACCAGAATTACAGAAAAGTGCAGTAGGCATAGAATGAATTTCATTTCGATACAATCAGTGATTGCATCAGGATGTAAACAGTTTGTAGTCATATAAAACAAGTTGCTTTATAAAGTTAAAATGTTCCGTATCTCTAACTAAACTGAATCATTAGCATTCATGTCTTATAAAATATTGCCAATTAAATCTAGGAAAGGATTGCAATATCGAAAACTGATACTTTGAAAATAAAAATCTGTACATACTTATAACTATGAAAAAACAATTTTAATATACAAAAAAAGGATACATTTGATAAATTATTAAAAAATAAATGGTAAACATTAAATGATAAAAATGAAATAGTAAATGTTAAATGGTAAATATTAAGAATAATATAAAATTAATTACCAAAAATTGCTTGAATATAGAACTAATGAAAAAGATAATACTTGGCCTGTTTGTGGAGGTTTTACATTGAGATACTTTAACTAGAAAAAATCTTACAATTTATAGTTCATACATATCTAAGAATTTATAAATTTTACAATAAATATAGTTTTAAAAATGTATTATATTGCAATATTTGTTTAATTTTAGTATGTATACGTTCCGTTAATAATAAGTAAAATATTTAAATATGCACCTGGAAGCATCGTTGGAAGCACACGCATTGCTCTACTCAGCAAATTGGGTATTCCGTGCGTTATCGATTTTGCCCAGGCTCGTTGTTCCAATGGCGATAGACTGTAGTATACGATTCTACGAATTCGTATCGGTAAATTGCCAAATTACAAACCCATTTTGCGCGAAAGAACAGATTAAAGAATTGACTCCTAACGTATCGCTATTAGTGCTTTCTCCGTGATATTTTTCGCAGTTTGTAAAAAAAAGAAAGGAAAAAAACTATTGCGAATTAATATTGTAAAGCGCACTCTTATTTGAAAATTAAAACTAGCTGCTCAGCTGTAACAAATGATAAGAGCAATGACTATCGGTAAAACTAATCAAGAGTATGATGATATGGAAGAGAGCTCTTATACCATAGAATGATGAGATTATATACCGAATCCTGGATTTTCAGCAAAAGATCATGTATACTAACTCAAAAGTATACGCGTTCATTTTAAGATGAATTATGTCAACTAATTACTATGTCAATAAATTGAACTTTCTTTCCGCAAGACCGAAAATTGATAATTCATTAATTTTATTTATCAATTTTAAAATTCTGAAATAGAGACGCACCCATAATTTTATTTAAATAATTTTTACACGATTTTATATCATTTCTAACTTCGTAATTAAAAATAATTGACTGCGTTAATTACAATTAACACTAATTTGTATTTTTAAACAGATTATCATTATTCAATCATTCAATTTTTATATCTTTAAATACTCAAAGAGAATTTACAAGTAAATTCTTATTGACTTCATAAACTCTAATGAACAAATAAGTTTAATATACTTAACATATTAGTTCAAAAATTTTACAATAAATAAGATTAACGTATATATTTATATTTCTACATATTTATGTGTTCCTTTTGTCTTATATAATAAGATAGATACTAAAGTACTATTAAATATTTTAAGGAGTGAATTTTTATCTTGAATTTATGTGAGGAATCACCCCTTAAAATCTTTTAGGGTACTTAGGCCCGATTGCACCAACGTTACTTTGACTTTAAGCAAGGCTTAAAACTCTGTCTTTGTCTCTCTTTCGCTTTAAAATGAGACAGAAAAAGTTTTAAGTCTTGCTTAAAATCAAAGTAACGTTGGTGCAACCGGGCCTTAGTCTTTTTTTATTCATACATTATTAACATAATATAAACTAATTGTAAGTTGATAAAATTTAATATGTAGATTCAATTTAATTTTAATATATTTTTCTAAATCTCTAAAAATAATTAAATTTTTTTTGAATAGTAGTACTCTATTTCTATTATGGTATTATTATTATTATTATTATTATAAAGAGAAACATTAGCTATTATCGATTAATTTTATTAGTAATACTATCTAATAATTACGTCAATTGCATAATTTTTGCAATTAAAAAGAAAAATATGCCTAAAGAAAAATATGTCAGCATATAATCTTACTCATTACATATTTACCAAATGAATGTTTGCTAATATAATTATTTATTTCTTTTAAGTTATAAATAACATATAATTATTTTTTTGCATCAAGAACAATATTGACTCTTAGTCATTTTCTTATACCATTAATATAAAGTAAAAAGAACCATTTATAAATAATTTCCCAAACCTAATTTATTACCCGAGTCATTATCTCCTGGAATAAATACACACTTCCTCCGACAATAGGATGATAAAAAGGACAGACACGTGGCAAAATCGGCGCATGCTTACGAGGCACGTAAAATTTTCGCTGCGTGACCTAGAATCTTACAAGCCCATGAGAGTCGGACTTTCCCTGATCATCGACCCTCCTCCAGACTATCGCGGTGACTACGAGGTGCGACACGTCAATAAGTACAATATAGCACAAGGACACCTGTTTGCCTCGATCAGCGTGCACGCCGGAAAACGTACCATTTGTAAACGCGTTACGAGCAACACACATGCACAATGATGCAATTGTGAAGTTTACCTAGTATGGCGTGACGTATGAGATATTCGCTTTATATTTCATCCGTCATTCGACACAGTTACGTCAGTTCCCAGAGTGAGCGAGAAAGAAAATGAAAATGAGAGAGAGAGAGAGAGAGAAAGAAAAAAGCCCAAATTCAGAAATAGACTTAATCAACACAGGCTGTAAATTCTAACGATAATTAAAAATAATTTATTGTTGCGTAATCAGTTACGTATCCTTCCAATAAATAAGTATATATCTTGTTCATGGCGACTTTAACAGTCTTTTTCTTGCAAGCGTATTCTTTTGCGCGAGATGTGTGTACCATAGCGTTTTAACAAAATTACTACCCAACTTCGCGGTAGCGCTCTGTATAAAGCCGTCGTATTCATCGCAGAATGTCCTACTTCTTGACCGCCACGCGCCGTTCAATTTGCACGATTATCTAGCCACGGCTGATACGCTGAAAAGTCAGTACACAGATAGTTTCAATTTATAGTAGAGTGCCGACAACAACGACGAGGCAACATATGCCTCCGTTAGCGTTTTATCTATGTCCACGCCTGTTGAGCCTGATCCCTCTCTTTATATTAGCCCTCTCATTTTTTTTCACTCTCCACCGTTCCTCCCCATACGCCTTTCACCTGACCATCCTCTTTCACCGCCTTCTCTTCCGTGTCCCTCCTTCCTCTATGCTTGATGTACGGTTTGGTATATTCCTGCAGACCGTGCGGGTTCGAGGGGAGAGTTCTCACCCTTCCACCCAAGCCCGACCTTCCACCCTCCGATGCTCGTCCCCCGCATCCCGTCGCCGCCGATGCCGAGTGGAATCGTGCGCGCGAGTCAGCTACTGAGGTAGTGGCAACCATATACCACAGACCAGCAGCACTCAGCAGTAGCAATAGTAGCAGTAGCAGTAGTAGCAGCAGCAGCAGCAGTAGCAGCAGCACTCGGTCAGCACCCACTTGTCGACTGGTCGACACCACGGCAGCTCAACACCGACCAGTCCTAGCGACTACTTGTGCGATTGTTGAGTGCCACCTAAGGGGAATTAGAAACAGCGGCGCCGGCAGCGTGTACTAATTAGCGCAACAATTAATTGCCGAAGAGCACGAACTGCCAGAGCAACTGACCGCACGCGTGCGCGTCGACGTGACCAGCTGCAGCCTGTTGCAAGCGGCGAATTATGACGTGAGTCCACGGTCCTTACTCCTTTTTTTCCCTCCCTACCGTTTTTACATATCTCGTCGATCGAGCAACCAAATCCTTCCACGCAACGTTCAGTCGTGTTAATTGTTGTTAATTGCGTTGATATATACTAATTATACATTAAATGTGTGATTATGCTAAATATTCTATCCCAATTAATATAGTCTGGAGAATATAGTCTCGTGATTCATTCATTTTTGATGATCTTGAAGAATGTTAGAATGTGTTTTTCCATCGGTCTTAACAGCATTCTAATTTTTGATATTTAAATGCAAGAAACGTGAGCATTAGATGCATATGCTATGTTTGAACATATGGAATATTGGCTTTCGTTATTCTTGTAGCCCAACAAACATTGATACGTTATCGATAAACGTCCAAAACATATTTATCTATGCTCTTCATTGATAAACGCCAAAAACACATTTATGTAAATGCCGAATCATCCCTCGATCGATTTAGCGCGATATACCCCTCGAAAAAAAAATTTATGGCAAAATATCGTGCTATGCAAACATAATTTATGTACGCAGCAGCTTAATCGAGCGGATTAACTTACTTAATTACAAAGCTTATGCATGACGGGTGGAAAGTTACGGGGAAGCTGCGGTTGTTTTGTTATTAATAAGCCTGCCCGTAATTACGCGCGTTTGATGCGAATAGTATACATACTATATACAATACCAATACGAGCGTATTTTCATCGATTGATTGCCGACATCAACGCAATCGCACACAATTTGACTCTTTTTTTCACGGAGTGAAAAGAGACCTGCCACGCGGCAGCCAACCGTTATGGAAGTCAAAAAGTCGAGTATATTCAAAGAGAAAGCTTCGTCAATCACCAAACTTTAATTAATATACAATATACGTCTCTCTATCTCCTTTCTTCTTGCACCACATGTCGATGCTTGAACTGTATTTTCCAACAGCTTTGTTCCTTTTTTTAACGCGACACGCGCTCATGGCGCGGCGCATACATATCGCCGTAATAAGAAAAGTATAAAATACTTACGAGAGAGAGAGAGAGAGAGAGAGAAAGAGAGAGAGAGAGAGAGAGAGAAAGAGAGAGAGAGAGAGCTGCGAGGTATGCACCATGGGAGTATCGATTCTGTGAGGCAAATATAGCTACTTTCGTTGAAAGTTCCTTTGTTCTCTTTACCGCAGTGAACCATATGATAGCGAGCAACGCGCGATGAACAATGGCAGCAGATAGCAAGACGGCGCGGCGAGTTTATTGAATTTTCTGCGGGGAACTTGCATCCCGCAGACTTGCATTTAATGCGTGCGTACGTTCTAATTTATATATATAGACAAGCTTTATATATAGGTGAGAAAAGACGAGGCATTTAAATCTGTATATAGCATCTAAGAAATCTTGATCCTCGATCCTTTTTCCATTATCATCGTTTTTTTTCTGGTATACTTTTAATTTACACGCTTTCAAAGAACAAATCCTCCATTTAACACATAAATTTGGTAAAAATTTTCCTCAGAATTTTTGTACGAATTGCAACATTTTTCAGAAATACTCAGAAATATTCAGAAAGTTTACATTTTTTCTCAGAATTTTTCATACAAGTGAATTCTGAAATATTCTGAAATTTCTCATCTCTCTCTCATAATTTTTAAAAAATATTTATATTTTTTTTAGATTTTATAATATTTCATCAGAAATTATACTTACAAAAAATCTTAGAAATATATATATATATATTATATCTTACGATATTTCATAATTAATATGTATGAAACATTTTGAAAAAAGATGTGAATTTTCTGAGAAGTGTTCCAATTCGTATAAAAAATGTGACAAAGTTATAAAATTATATAAAAATTCTGACAAATTATATAGAAATTCTGAAAAATTATATGAAAAATTCTGAGAAAAATTTTCAACAGGGAAGCTTTATATTTCTATTTATACTAGTTATATTGTTTTGAAGTGTAATGCTTTGAAATGATAACGGCTTTAATTTTATGCGACATATTATTTCACATAAAATTATCCAGCAGTATTATGAAAACAGATGGATTCACGTTTAAGCTGTACTCAAGTCAAGGGTACTAATGTATATTTTTGAAATTTATTAGCAATAGACCGTCTACATTACGCGTACAAAGCGTAATATAAATATGAAAAGAATTTCATTTGAACGACGTAAAATCGTTATATGATATTTGCCAAGGTTGTAATATACCATAAAACGAGACTAATGCTGTGGTAAAAGCTATTTGAAAGCTCATATTAAAATGCTATGATATGTTGAAATGTATCACAAGTCCACGAGTAGGCCGTGTTGAAAAGCAACCATTGATTTATACAACTTTGAAGAAACAAAGTTCGTGGCCTCTTATTTTTCTTGTTATAGTCACGTTACCTTGAGAAATATAGTGCTACACATTATTACCTTCGTTCTCACGTATTCCTCACATGCCATAACTCAAATAATTCTCGTTTAAAAGCCAATATTATGTCGAGATACGTCATACGTCAATAACGTTGCAACAAGCCATTGGATAAATAAATCGTGCATGTAAACTAACAAAAACAAAATTTCAATTTTATACTTATAGTTTTCATAAAATATACCTTGTATAAAAGAACTTAAAATCTTTTATGTAAGATAATTTTTATGTGAAAACTAGAAATGAAGAGTAAAATATGAAACAGCTGATCTTTTTCTTTGTACGGTTCACTTTATGATTTACTCTCAGTAATTTCTCTTTTCACAAAATGAGAATTTCATCATAGAATCGTATCGTGCTACTGTTCCATCAAACGGCTCGTATGAATACCATACATCGTTTCCTTCATTTTACACGGCGAATATGCGATTCAAGCATCTCGCTTGTAAAAGCTATCATTGAAGTGCGATAATATCATTGTGCGGAAACATATTTCGAAACCACGTTTGTGATAGGCGATACCAGATTTCCTGTACGACTCAAAGCACGCATCTCATCGTACATTCCCGTTATCGTTCCTCGAATATTTCTAATTTCCCGAGTTCCAGTAGAGAACAGGGATTACATCGTATACCGAACAAGAAAATAAATGAGAGAACGTGGGCGGTGCAGCATCCCACGCCCAGAGAAAAATCCTTTACAACTGGATGTCGCTAGCCGGGAGGGGAGAAAGATAATAATTCACGTCATATATGTCGATATGCGCGCATAAGCTCGGCACATTAATATTCGGAAATGACGTGATTTAATGGCTGAACCGGATTGCATTACGGTACGATATGTTGAAATTGCTGTTTAATTGCAAGAATATCCACAGGGAAATGATATATGTAAACACCATTAATAAATTTATTTCAATGCCAATTTTTATATTATATAATTTCTATATGTATAATGATTTGCTTATTAATATATTAGTATATACAAGGAACGTGACAGTTTTGTTACAACTGACAAAGAAGGAAACATTTAAATTTCAAAGAAAATAAAGATCTCGTCTGAAAACTGATTATCTGTTCGCAAACTTCTCTATTTAACATCTACTTTTCTTAAACATTTTTATCAAATTCTATTAACAAATACAAATTGTGTGTTACAGTAAAAGGTATTTAGAATAAATTAAATCATGTATTGAAATTATCAAATATTTTGTACAGATATAAAAAGAGATATACATATACGTATATTTTACATATATAACATATAAAATATATATATTTTATAATAATATTTTTATTTACATTTTACATATATATATATATGTTATCAAGTATATAAACTTGATATTAATGCTATAATGTAAAATATAAAAAAAGTATTGTTATGAAATGTACATGTGCAAATTATTCTTTAATCTTGTACACTCTTACTCAAGATCTAAATTAAGTTTATAGAAGAAACAATCTTACAGTGGAACCCTCTAAGTGCTAGTTCAATTTGCCTCGGGGAAAACGGTTTTCATGTGGCTTCCGGATGCTGTGGTACTTTTCTACAAACGGTATATTAATCAAATTAAAGGTTAGTGATTTTAATTTTGCAATTCTATTCAAATTAAAATTGTAATTTTTATATCTTTCTACAGTGCACAGTGTGGCATAAAGCAAATATCAAATGCAAAATTTTATATAAATACAGATATTGAATGTAAACCAGCGAATATACATAAGTTGTCACGAACAATAAGCAATTAAATAACATTTATATTTACATATTAACATAGATTGTTTCATATGTTTATTGTTACAGATAGACTAATCCTACGCGAAGAAAAGAAAAGAAGAGAGAAAGAAAAAAGAAAAGAAAAACAAAAAGGAGCAAAAAGTGCATTGCAGACAACATAACTTGCCGCGAAATGGATGAACCAATAACACGAGGTGGTAGATGGGTTTGCCCGAATGATCGACAATTGGCATTGCGAGCAAAGTGAGTTTTAACAGTAATTTGCAACTAAAGTAAATATCAATGTTCAAATAATAACACAAACTGAAATTATTTTCCTATATTTAGATAATGAAAAAATTGTGGATTTCGAATAGATTATAGAACAGTTAAAAATAAAAGATATATTCTCTTAAATGCTTTGATATCAATTTAAAACAATGTTTTAAAGTTATCTCGACATACCTATTTGATTTTTAATAAATGTTGAAACTATAAAGCAATATGAAGAAACATTTTACAATTAGATAAATGTTTTATGATATTTAATACAATTTAATGTTTTTTGAATGTTATGATTTTATGTTTTTGGAATGTTATGATTTCCAATATAACTATTCTCATTATTATCTTTGCAAATTTTTAAATTTTTGTAGACAAAAATTAAAAGCATTTTTTAAAAAACATCACCACATTCATACATATATAAAAATATTATATTTTTTAGTAATGTGCTGTAAATATCGTGCAATATGCATCGCGGCCATGCGTACTGCATGATATAGCAACGTTTTCAGCATCATAATATAACTGCATATATATGTGACCCAAAATAACAATCAAGATAAATATAATATTTGTAGTTGCATAATATGCAATATACTACAAAATGTTATAAAGAATTGTTTATATATAATACAATTTTTATTAAAAAATATATACGTCTAACAATATTAGATATACCTACATTCAAAAAGAAATGCCGAATCTGTCTTCGAGATAATATTAAAAATAATTGAACATAAGCATAAAATTAGTTAAAATAGAAATATAAAATAAATAGGCATAAATTTATTTTCTGCTTTTGTAATATTTTGTCTTTGATAAACATATATATTTAGTACTGCTTCAATTATATTATCCATGTAATATGATTGTCTTGCTTCTCCAATTCACGCTAAAGAAGTGCGTTAAAAAACATTTTTTCTCTTTTTTTTGTCTTTTTAAATATCCGTATGAAATATTTAGATTAAATTTCGAAATTTTCAAGTTTATTTTTTCAAGCTTTCTAGTTCGTATTTTCAAGTATATTTTTTTTAAGCTCAATATTGTTTAAGCATCACTCAGAGTTTTTCGCGTTTCTTCAAAGGGATGAAATAATGAGCTCTCTTCATAACAAGCAGATAGTGATTTCATCTTAAATTATGTTCACAAAGTCATTTATTATAAAAGCCCTTTTTGACGAAAATTTTTCTCTTCAAAAAGGGAGAAATGTAATTTAAAGATTTAAATTTCTTTAATAAACGATCGTAGTTTTTTAATTAATTCGGTATGTTAATATTTTTCATGTTATGAAACTCTCAGTCTCGAATTTAATTATTTAATATTAGTAGATTTTTTTATATTTTTTGTTATAACTATACATTTTTCTGATCGGCTTTCATAGATATTAATAATGTCTCTTTAAATAATGTCCCTTTAAATAAGTTTTTATTTATATTTAGTATAACCAACTTTACAAAAATTGAAAGAAATAATCCTGTTAATAATTTTCTTCAAATTTTTAAAAATAATATTACACAAATTAGAAAATATACATAAAAATCAATTAGAAATTATTATCATATTGCGCATATTGTACATTATGCGCGTGTGCAGTGACGAATAATCTGCCTTTATTGTTATCTTGTATTACGATAGTATTTGTAGTTTATTTCCTTAAAAAAATGTGATTTTACAAAAAATAGTATTTTTATACAGGAATTTGATGTAAAACACTTTAATCTTTTATTTTTATAATTTTAATATTCGCAAGAATAAGAATAGGAATATGTTAAAAAATTCATAATTTTGAAAAAATCTTATACATGCAGAGTTATAAAAACATATTAAATTAAAGTATATAACTTTTATCTGAAATATTTTTTAGTATACTTTAGAGTTTTTCCGATATTCGCTCAAAAATCAAATATCTAAATGGTTTGTTTCAATGAATAGTTTCAATACCTAAAAAAAAGCATTTATAACAAATCTTTTATTTTTGTCTAACAATATATCCAAAACTCACTTATTTTTACAAAATTAATGATAATATTTTTTTATTTAATTCTTTGCTGACACTTGTCTTATGAGTAAATTCTATTTTAAAGACTATGCTCATAAAAATTAACAAAATATCTTCATTATTATCTTTTTACAAATAAATTAAAAAATTTTTTAATAAAATACATCATAGTAAATTGTGTTTAAATCTGGCACAGATTGCGAACAGGATGGTCTGTAAAAACAGGATCTTTTGAATCTCATGGATGGGGACAATATCCAAATTCCTGCACGAGCAATTCCAATCGTTGCGGACAATCTTACTTGCTCACTGATGATGAACGGAAAGCTATTATCCAGGTAAATCCCACACTACGGCAATCCATTTCAGCCTTCCTTCCAATTTTTTATTATTAAATTTCAATATAAAAGAATAATATTAGGATTCTCTCTAGTAGGATATACACGTGTGTTTTTTCACAATGGAAATATCATATTATTTAAAAAAAATAGTTATGTTTATTTTTATTTCTCTTGCGAGATTAAAACATTCAAATTTTCCTTGTACAACGTTGGGTCGTCGAGTGATTTGCTGCTCGGTGCGATGGACTCGTGATCTGTAGATCCGTGTTCGATCTCACTTGCGTCCATATACGCGATTTTTCGCGTTTAGGAAGCCGAAAATTGCTCCATCTGGTGATTAAGAGAAGTTAAAAAGGCTTAAGGCCGTTGCGAATTATACGAGGAGGTCTATGAGATCTCTAACTAAAGAAATCTTAAGCATCACCAGTTTGATTTTTAACTTCAATGTTGTGACAATCATCAATAAGACATTTTCCAACTTCAATACCGCAAGCAATCGAAATGTGAAATTTTTTCGCTAGAGTATCATACTCTGAATCTGTCGTCATTTCTGATTTACTATGCTTTACGAGTAAATATTTTTTCATATCATAATAACTTATGAAAAGGCTCGAAAAAGGCGAATCTTTACAGTCATTATGATTACATTTTACCTGACCACATATATATTTTTTTTAAATATACGTATTTGAAATTAATAGTGAAACTATGACTCACATTCATATTTAACAGCTAAAAAGATTGCAGTACAGAATACGCAATATATTTAATACACGCGTTCAAGAATGACTATATATAGTTCCTAAGTTATTTATATAGGTATTGAATAATTTCAAAATTCTTTTCCCTGTAGACAGAAGTTCCCTTGCAATCTAATAACCATACTTTATTTGACTCACTTAATTATGCAATTTTTATCCTTCTATCTTTTCTGAGAAATCACATGGAAAATTAAATGGAATTTCAAACAAGATTAAAATTTATTCATTAAAAAATATCATCTTGATGTATTTGAGTTTTTGTATTACATTATTTTAAATGAAAAATGCATTTAAATCGGTTTATTCGTAACACACACAATACAATATTTTACAGTATTTACAGCAAAGAGAAAATTCAAAAACTTAATTCGATATATACAGGGTGTTTCCAAATTAAATGGCAAAACTTCGGGAGCGTGTAGAGGAGTAAAAAACTAAGAAAAAAAGTCCTATAGACATATGCTCCTTTTTGCTTTGTTTCGCAGGAAATCACGAAAAAAGAAAAAAATATATTTAATTTATTATTTTAATTATTTTATTTATAAACTTTTTAATGAAGATTTTGTTCGAAATGTGCACCTCTTGCA